CAAATTTTCAGACTAACAAGACAAATAATCTTACACATTCTGAAAACAAGATGATTATTCTTACACAATCAGTTCTTGTTTAGTAAATCAGTCTGAAAACAAGATCAAAAAGACTTTTTGGCTGATATAAGGTTTAAAACTTGGTTAGGTGGACAGTTTTTGCGGTGTGTAAAGTACATCTGATCTATTGAACCCCAAATATTGCTACTTTTTTTCTCTCATTTCAGCAGAATCCATTTTATTTTCAGGTGAGGAAAGATGGAGACCCCTCAGGACCCACCTGTGTGCAGCCTGGGCTCCAGGCTTCGTTACGGCTCTCTTGTAAACAGTGTTTCGTCACTCGGACCAGACACAACACAGACAGCAGCCAAACCGCCCAGGAGCTCTTATGTAGCCATCGCTGTGCTCTGCTACATTAACCTGCTGAACTACATGGAGCGATACACTATCGCAGGTTGGATGATCTGTTGCTGGACTTTGGTTGTTTACAGTTTCTCCTCCTTGCTGTAAATCAGATTTTTCTCTGCAGGTGTTCTTTCTGACATTCAGATGTTCTTCAATATAAGTGACAGTACAGCTGGACTTCTGCAAACAGGTGAGAAGATGTGCTTCTAACAAAATCATTCATGTAAGTCTGGACATTAGTTATCACTGTCTGTCCATGCTTTAGAGTTATTATTAAAAATATTCATCAACGTACATCTGATTAACTTTTGGAGTCAGCTTTTCAAGATGGCTGCCACAGCAAAACAATCTTAGCAAACACAAAAATGTAACTCATTTCTATATTCTATAGATATTGAGTTAATTTTAGGGGTGGAGGTGCCTGGAATAAATGGGCTTCATGCAAGAACATGTTCACATTTTTATCCTAAATTTCTTACTTTTGTTCGTGCAAACGTCAGWTTCAACAAACTCTTCTATCTTCAGGAAAAGTGTGTAAATGAGCTGCGTAAACTGATGAATAAACTGCTCGTCACGAGGAGAGGAGATTAGCATAATTACCCCCCTAAAAACACCATATAAGGTTACGTTTCCTGTCCCACATACCAGGAAGTGTTCATTAAATGACATCACAAAGTAAAAAGAAGAACTTTATGAGTTCAGAGRTTGAAGTTCTGCTGTCAGAGATCCAGAAAAGAAAATCTGTCATTTTAGCAGCGTCAGCTGTGGAACTAAAGGAGCTGCTGAAGCCGAGGAATGAGATATTCTGTTAATGCTGTGTCTCCTGTGGGTTGTATACTCACAGAAATAAAAATATAAATCATATTCATCTCTCTGTAGTCCTGCTCCGGTTTTTCTTTGGCCAAATATATTTAATTCAAGTGTAAATAATCATGTTAGGCTACAGATATTTCATTTATTCAAAAGAAGAGCAGTCG